CAGATTATTTCACTTTTGCTTAGTTAAATACTCTTGACATTCGGCACTTAGGTAACCAGTAGAGTCATATTCTGGAACAGTAGGTTCAGCAGGCGGAGTAATTGGTAGTCAGAGGGCATTCTTAAAAGAGCAGACTGTTCGGTTTGAGAATGAGTTTCTAAGACATTTTTAATTAGTCCTTTATTTTGGTCTAAGTAGACTAATTTACTTAGTTTACTCTTTAAATTAGTCCAAGTTTCTAATATCTTTGGTTTTTTGTGGATTAATTAGGGGTGCCAGAGAAGCAGCGAAAACTACTTGGGCAATGGAGAATAAAAACTAAAAAAATCAACAATAAAAACTTCTAACTGTAAAACTAAAATATAACAAGAAACCCAATTATAATTATAGATATCATGGTAAAAAATAATAATCATTCCGTTTTTCCACCTAGGGAGGAATTTGAAAGAGTAGTCAAAAGAGCAGAAAAAACCGACCAGAGAACTAATTTTCTTTTGCCTCCTAATGCTACTGCTGCGGAGAAAACTAAATATAAACTTTGTAAAACTATTGCTCGCTATGAAAGAGAAAATAAACTTTCCGAGCAAGAATTAGCCAAAAAGTTAGGAATTACCCACGCCCAAGTAGAAAAGATTTTATTTTGCCATATTGACAAACTGGACTTGGAGGAATTAATGAACTTTGCGGAAGGATTGGTCGCACCTTTGGAAGTAAAAATTAATAGCAAATATGCCTGAGAAAAAGCCTCCGCAAAAGCCCACTAATTTAAGACCTTATGAATGTAATTTGGTTATTAACGGTCAGCATTTCACCAAATTAGAAATTAGTCCTTATTACGAAAAGCACAATAAGGAGTATTTAGAAAAATTAGCAAGAAAAGGGATTAAACTATCTGCTTGGGAGTTAGTTGAAAAAATGATTACTGATGATTTGATTAGAGAAATATTACTTTCCCAGTTAAACGGCGAGGACGACATTAGAGATGATGGTCGCAATTATCAGTATATTTATTACTTTGCTATTTTACATAAAGGAGTTAAAGCCTATAAATTAGTGTGATGCGTGGATGATAATGAACCACATATTTTAGGGTTAATGGATTGTTTTCGAATAAGAAAATATGATAGGAAAAAATAAATTACTTGACCTTAACAAATGGTCAGAGGAAAGTTAAAATATCTCGCTCCAATAAACTAATTTGTTTTTACAAACTTCAAAAAAAAAAAAAAAAAAACAGAGATAATTGAAACTTGGACTAATTTAAAGAGTAAACTAAGTTTTGTCACTGCTGGGTTAATTCTAGAGTAAAATTTGGATGGATATTAATTCAGTTAGAATTATTTTCTTGTTCTTTTATTTTTTCTAAGACTCCATGGAGTTCTGACATGTCAAATTCTACTGACTTAGCAATATTATTTTGTTTGGAGTTTTCCAGCAATTCGCTGATTTTTTTGGTATTTATAGGTTTGCTATGTACAACTGCGGTAGGAGGAATTTGGTAAGGATTATTTTTAGAGAAAGTATTATATTCATCTTTTATGGCTTGATAATGTTGATAGAAAGGAGTATTTTTTTTAAAATAGATGCCATTTGAGATGTTATAACTAATTGAACATCAACCATTAATAACCTCTCTTAATTCCTCAACGGTTGGTCTCTGTTTAGGGTCAGCATCCCAACATTTTTTAATTAAATCTTTTAATAAATGAGGTACTTTCAAACTATCTATATCAGGTCTTAGTTCCCGACACACTCATAGAGCTAAATCTATATCATCCATTTTCGGATAAGGATAAGCATTAGCAAACAATTCATAAACCACTATCCCAAAAGAATAGATATCTGCTTTCTGAGTATAAGGTTGTCCTTGTAATACTTCGGGAGCTATGTAAGGTAGAACTCCGTAAACTTTTTTTTTGTTAATTTCATTAGCTGGTCGACATAATCCCAAGTCAGTGATATAACTAGTAATTTCTACTTCGCCATCACTATTAATTTTTCCATTCAATATATTCCCACTATGTAAGTCGCAGTGAACCAGTTTTTGTTTATGTATTTCATTTAATCCATAAATAATGTTATTTAATCTTGAAAATTTATTTTTAAAACCTAATTCAAGTCTTTCGTTATAATCTAACTTATCATGATTGTCTTGTAAATATTTTCTTAAATTACCACCTTCTATATACTGCATTACCATCACATAATTCTTGGTTTCGGGGTTTTGAGAGATGCCATAAATTGGTACGATAGTTGAACTCCTAACTAATCTAGCATTAGTAATCTCAGTTAAAAATTCCAAAGTGATATTTTGAGAATTAGTAAGGGATTTTAGGATAACTTCCTCATCCAATAACCAATTTCGAGCCTTATATATCTTACTAAATCCTCCTTCGGTTAAGTATTTAATATTGGTAAACTGTCGGTAAGAAATTCAGCAAAAACCACTTTTTTTCACCAATTCTTTCCCAGTTAAATTTTTTATATTTTCTTGCCAGTTTTTTTCTTGACAAGTTTGACATCAATTTTTGCTAGTATTAAATTGTTGGCATTTTAGACAACGACCAAATTTAGTGAAGTATTTATCTAGTTGAGGAACTATTTCAACTAACTTACAGTCTGGTCTTTTTTTGGTAGAATATTCAATTTTCTCTAAACTTTTGGGTAATTTGTCGATATTTACTTCATTAAAATCGGTATCACTAATGTCAAGGTATTTTAATTGTTTAAAATTGGTTAAGAAATCTAAATTGCCAGCGAAAGGATTATTGCTTAAGTTTAATTTTTTTAAATTAGTCGGAACAGTAAGAAGAGTGCCAATAGTTAATAAATTATCACAACAGTTAACTTTTTCTAGTTTCTCACAATTAGTTAAATTGAGACTAGTTAATTTATTACTTTCGCAATTAAGTTTCTTTAAATTAGTGAAATCATTTAAGTTTAGTTTGTCTTCTAGACTTTCTCGTTTAATATCTAACTTGGTTATTTTCTTCCTTTTTTTACCAAAATTATGCTTTTCTTGATAACTTTTTCTTACACATATTCCCTCCTTAGGATAATTTTTGTCTAGTCATTCTTGAGCATTTACCATAAATTAAAAAAGTGACAATTAAAAAGAATAGCGCAGTACTGTAATTTTAAATCAAGAACAGATGAGTAATTTAAGGAAAGAAGACTGGAAATAAATAGGAAGTTAGAGAATAAGATAGTAGTGGTAGTAGAGAAAGTTGGTTAAAATATCTGATAAGTAAATTTGGGAGCAAAGATAAAATTTCCAGTTTTACTCTTCTTAAAAGCACTTATTAGATAGGGGGGGTTTTTGAATCCCCCCTTTCTAGGGATTTAGTTGTTGCTTTTAGGTGGAACTTCTACTTGAACTATTAATAGATTGTGATAATTCTTTTTTTTAGCTTCCTTAAATTTTTTTAACTCTTCTTTCATGAAACTCTTTTTATAGTGAAATTTTCCATAATCCATAACTAATTCGCCATCCGTAAACTTGCATGAATCATGAACTAGTAAGTTCGTTCTTTTATCACGCTTTCCTCCAGCGATTTTCAACCTCTTAAAACTCCATGCATTAGGATCTTCTGCGATTTTTTTTATAATTTCTTCTTCTCTTACTTTTGGATACCTTCCTTCACCAAACTTAAGCAATTCCCCTTTTTTAATAAGGTTACCTAATTTTTGTTCGTTTGTATTTTTGTTTCAAAAACGCCTACCAGGAATATGGTCAATAGTTCACTCAGGCAACTTGCTGGCGGAACTGATCTCGATTTCTTGATAACTAGCATTTCTTTCCATTCTATCATTTTTTCATCTGTTTATTTCTTTACGTGCTTTGTCAACTTGTTTTCAAAGTACATCTAAATTTGATTCTAATTTATCAAATCTTCCTTCTTTTTCCTCCACGCAATTACAATCATCCAATCCAGTTTTAATTAATTGCAAATAATCTCTTGCTACTCTTTTTTCTTCTTTATAATCTCTAACGGCTTTATTCATTTTTACTTTATCGTAGGTAGATAAAAAGGGAATAAACGCTCTCACTATTTGTCATCATTTTTTTGTCTCGTTAGTAGAGGTGCCCATTAACCGCGAATGAGCATTCTCAATTAATTCATAAGCTTTTCTTTTATTTTCACAACAAAATTCTTTTACCATATATTTATTTACTATATTTTTGTATTTCTTTATTTTGATTCTTTTGTTAAAAAGTTTAATTCATCCAATATTATTAATGTTTCTTCAACTTTTTCTTCCGGCGATTTCTCGCCAGAATTAAGATTAAAAGTAAAGTAAAAGTAATAAATATTCCACAACCAATAATTAAAGCGGTTTTATCACTGGGTTTAACATTAGTAGAATTAGGATAGTAGAATTAGGATGATTATTCTTTTTGTGTAGTAATTCCGCTAATTCTTTCTTTTTATCAACTAACAATACCTTTTCTAGAGGGTTTTTATTAGGTTTAGTCTCTAAAATTTTTAGTTGTTGTTTTTTAGAATCTAGTTCTGCTTGACTATTAGAATTAGTAGGATTTTGTTCTAAATTCATGATTTCAGAAAGTAATTGTTGTGGTTGAGTGAAATTACTCCTTTTTTTACTTATAGGAGTATTTGGGGAGTAATGTCATGTCATATATAGTATTTTTACTACTCATATTAAACTACATAAAAATTATATTATATTACATAGCAAAGGAAATTTAAAGGTTAGAGTTTTTTGATAGTAATTACAACTTTCTAACTCCTTGTTTTCCAAGGGTTCATCCAAAATTAAACTATATAAGAATTATTAGTATTGTAATATAAAATAAATTAAGGAGGAGTGAGAGATTATAAACTAACATAATTTTAGTTAACTGGGTTTACTTCTTGGAGGAGAATTTTGCTCTCTCTCTCTCTCTCTCTCTCTCTCTCTATTTTAATTAATATAATAACAAAAAATAAAAAATTCTTAAACATTTAAGTATTTCTGCATAAAGCATAAACTTAATTTGTTAAAATATAATATATAATGATAAATAAGATAATGTTGAATTGATTGCTAACACAAATTAAGTGTAGTAACACAGCATAGAGAAAACAACGAATAGAATTAAATTAAATAAAATTATAATAATATTAAAAATATGGTTAATTGAAACGACAAGACTAAATATAAATCAATAAGTGACATAAAGAATGAAAAAAAGGCAGATGGAACTAATTTTTTTACTGATGAGGAATTAATTTATTTTGATGATCCGTTAGTTAAGAGGAAAATAGAAGCGGCTGTAAAAGTTGCTGAACTGGTAGAAAAAGTTAAAAGAGCTGAAACCGCTAATAAAAAAGAAGAAACGTTATTTACTGAACTGAGTTCAGAGGTAACTAACAAAACTTTAGCTTATAAAGTAGTGAATATTCTTCCAAAATATAGAGTGGATGAGGCTATATTTAGATTAAAACTTTGGATGGGAAGTGTTGGAAAAACTGAAGAGGAAAGGAAAGCGAGAATTGCAGAGATAGATAAAAAGATTGCAGAAAACAATATTCAAAGAGCCGAAAAGGATAAAATGACTCGATTAACTGTAAGCAGTTTAAGGGAGGCAATTGAAGAAAGGAATCGAATTGAACAAGCCCATAAAATAACTAATAATCTCCAAGTAGTTTTGACAGGAACCGGTAAACTTATTACAAAAAATAATCCAGAAGGGGTGGATATTAATACTTTAACTACTGAATATAAGGTTAAGGATTATTCAAATAATAATGTTTTTATAGATGATTCAAACACTATTACCGATATTGTTACAGGAACTACAAGTACTACGGGAGCAACAGTTAAAGAAATAATGGATCATGCTAAATCGTTTATAGATAATGCTAAGAATATTAATACGACACCATCTAACTCAACAACTTATAAAAAAACTGGTTTAACATATTTTAATAGTAGAAAATGAAACTCTAAACACAATCTTATGGATGGAATTGATGAATTCGGAATTATGTATTTGAGTGTTCTACGACAAATTGGCTCAGATAGACTTGAAAAAGTTATCGAAGCTTCTGGTTCTTCTAAGAAAGCTGACTTAAAAAAAAATATCAAAATAATTACCAAATATATTAGTAGTGTTGAATCTAAAATTGATGAAAAGTTAACAATAAAAGAAATTAGGGATGCTATGTTTGATGAAGTCGCAGTTATAGAGTATGAAAAAAAAAGAGAAAGGAATTCCATGGATATTTTAAAAAAGAAACCTAGCGAGCTCTACCAAGTACCTAATTACCAAATTATTTTTGAATTCATGAAAGAGGTATTTCCTTTAAAAACAGGCACTACTACTTATGAACTAGCTGATAAACCTTATCTTGATAATATTAATGATGATAATTATATAAAACCAACTACAGCCGGTGAAAGAGGTTGAAAAGATTTAACTTTAGCTGGGTATTCTTATGATCCAAAATCTAGTTCAATTAGTGCTGATGAAGATGCTATACTTGATAGTGAAATGATAACTTCTAATCAAATTCCAAGCGATGCTAATTTTAAAACTCTTACTAAAATTTGATGAGAGCTTTTTGGTCCTTTTATGGAATCCAAGACAAATTCGAATAAAAATAGGTGGGCAACAGGTCATAATTATGATGAAGGTAGAATTACAGGCTCGGAGGCTTCTTATTTAAGGAATTTACACTATATTAGATATTGCAGAACCATGCGGGAATTATTTTTAGAATTAGGAATTTCTTCTAATATTGATGATTATGATAATCATTTAATAAATATTTGTGGAGAAGCCGCGAAAGGAAGACTTATTTTTCCTGATAGAACCAAAATGATTGAAAGACAAACAGCAGATAATAAACATCCTACAGCTGCAAATGATGCCCTTATTTTAGCGGCACAAAATAACAAGATATGAACTGATGTTGGTGATTGGAAGGATTATGCTTCAACTAAACTGGTAACAAAGACAGCTTCAGATTTAGAGGCTGCCCAAGAACATGTTAATAGTCTAAGTAAGAAAAGAAGTGATTCAGAAATTGATTCTGCTAACTTTTCTGCACAAAATAAAGAGTTAGAAGCAGAAAAAAAACTTTTGGAAGGTTGAAAAGATTTCGATGGCAAAGACTTACCAGGCAAGAAAGATGATTTCCAAAAACTTTATGCAAAAGGAAAATGAACTTGAAATGAAATAACTCAAATGTTAAGGTTTCTT